ACTCCTTCTATTCTCCCAAGTATTTGGCAACACTTTAGAATATGGTATGGACTTTTAGGCCAAATGTCATTTCATGCATTCAAACAATGCTACAATGTGTACTTAGGAACCTAGATTTACAGGGGAGAAATGAAGTCAAAAAGCAGAGAGTGGAATACACCTAGCCAGAACTGGAGCTGGAAACCATCCCTAGACCTTGTGATTTCTTCAACAACATTCTTTTTGCAATTGACAGTCACAGCACAGAGCTCTTTCTGAAGGAGGCCTGGAGGAAGAAAACATGGCAGGAGGATAGGCTACAGATTCTGGAGCTAGATTTAGACTGCTGGAGTTAGAACCTCAACTCTTAACATTTATAGGCTGCGTGACTCTTAAACTTCGCCAAACCTCAGCATTCTCATCTGTTAAAATGAAAATATCGGTGGTATGTACATCATAGGCATGTGGTGAAGTTTAAATAAAATAAGCAATATAAGGCAATTAACATATTGCCTCAACATAGTAAATGCAAGGGAAAAAGCAAGATAAGTTTAAACTATTAATTAGCATTTTACTACAGAATAGTATACAAGTTCTACAGTAAACATATGAAAACTGAAATCTCTCTCTATATATGTGTGTGTACCTGCATGTTTATACACATATACATATAGATTAGACTTTACATAAATATACAGAGGTATAGATACTGCTTTTCTACAATGAATTCAACTGTTTAGTTTCCTAGGTTTGCATAATTTCCATTTTTCTTTACTAGAACACCCTGGAGTTTACATGGAGGAAACATCTGTTTTCTCTAGTGTATAAATAAATAAAATTCCTCAAAGAAATATGGACAAGTTATTTTATAAGGGCTCACAGCCAACAGGGTCCTTGTAATAATCCCCAACAATGCTTTTAACAACATTATATAGGAATTGTAGTTCCAGCACATTTTCCCTAATGTCTTTTGTATACTGGGAACCAATTCAAGAGAAATTAACAACATGATCCACATGAAGAAATAAGTCACATTGGATGTCAAACCATGACTGATTGATTGCTTCTTCATTGCTGAAGAATACAGTGTTTTTAACAACCAAAGGATAAAAATTAAAATGAATTCTGAATTTCCAAATCCAGTTTACAGGTACTGAGAAAATCAATGGTGCTTTTACTGGTCTGTAATATTACCAAAAGAAATAAGATGTGCCGAGGAACCGGGCCTGTCTCATAGTTTGGCTCACTCTTCTATATTTGCCTGTGTTTATACTGAATACACATTTTGGCCCCGGTCCAAAAAAAAAAAAAAATCAAATCCATGATAATTTCCAGAGACTGTTGGCCAAACCTTAAATGAAGAAACATGTCACTTCTCTCACAAATAATCCATCAATCTTGGCAGCAAGTTACAATGGGGGTCCATCTCATCAGAACTGGCTCTTTCTACTATGGATTCTTAAAAAAAAAATCCATAACCCTGAGGTTGAAGACACAATTCCTCTTTCCACAGCAAAGAGAATGCTTAATATTATCAGAGCCCCCTCTGTTCATAGACAAGAAACTCACAAAATGATAATAATGTTAGAAAATGAAGTGACATATATTACTTAAGAATAAAACTATTACCTTCAATGACATACTGACCAATACAAAATGAGCCTGGGCTTTCTGTTTTTCTTTGATTTGAGGGGACTTTGGAGTCTCAATGTAAAGAAGCTAGCTGTGAGACTAAAAATAAAGTTTCCCAGTTTACAGTTGATTTTTCAGGCTATAAAAGATCTTGGCGGCTTTTAGACACACTCATGATTTAGCTTTTGTAAATAAAGGTGTTAGAAGCACAGAAAATTTCCTTATCAAAGAAAAACCTGTCTTGTTTTCTGCATGTTTTACTCACTGGCTATCATTCACTAAAAATTTACATTCCAAGCTGGATTAATTTTTCCACAATGCCAATCTAAATTTTCCATGAATAAATGAGAAATCACATTGAGGAGCTTTCTCCAGATACTTTAAACGCCTCAGTAAGTACTCATAGCTGCCTAATAGGATGGTCTGTACTCCTCAGCTAACGCACCTCTTCAAAAACACTGTTTTAACTACCGTCTACACCTCAAATAGAAAACTGACACCATATATTACCTAAAAGGTAAACCCACCTCAGCAAGTTGATCAAAAAGTCATTCTGGTGTTTCCTTAAGAATTACTCTCGTCGTTAATTTCCTTCTTTGGTCTCTCATGTTTAAAGAAAAACAAAATGAGCCATTGACTCAGCCACTTCATTCAAAAGTGTACCTTCCAAAGTACACTTGTGGTCAAAAGTTTTCTTTGAAGACAGAAAATGTGAAGGGCTGACTTTTCCTCAGTGATCCTGGTCCCTGTGCAGCAGGTGTGTGTATAAGAAACGCACCAATATGGGCAATCTCAGAATAGAAGTTTGGAGAAACCATTCCCAGAGACACCAAAAGGTAGTTGACCAGTTGTCTGACCACGTGGCCACCAGGCCCCTAGTGAGTCTGCGCACACGCACTCCCTCCGCCCCTGCAGTGCCTGAGTGGGTGCGCAGGCGCAGTAGGAGCACGCCGTTGCCATTGGAGACCATCACCTGCTGAGGAGCCTGAGGGCGGGCTTGGTGCTGGGCTCCGGCCTATCCCTGTGATGGTCGCTCAGCGGGGTCTGGCGACCTGGCGCTGAGCGCGCTGCCAGCTGGCATCTTCCTTTTCATCTAGGCCTAGGTGCTGGCGTGAGAACCCGAACTGGGTGCTGGACAAGCGCCCTCCGAAACTCCTTGGGACCTTCAACAAGTAAAATGCAAGGTAGTGATGTCGCTTTGCTGGAGTGACTTCGTGTCAAAAGCCATAAAGGGGCATGGAGGCTGATCACAGTGCTCCTGTCCCCACAGCCTCCCTTTTCTCTTATCATCTTTCTCCCTCCCTCATCAGAGTCTGGGTCTTAACGACACCCCCCCCCCACCAACTCCACACCCCATTCTTGATTTGATCCAATATTGAGTATCTGGGTTCCGGCCCAAGACTGTCCTTGAACATACTAAAATGAATCCCTTGACTTCTGGGAGCTCCCATTGACTTGGAAGCCAGTCCTGAAAATCGAAAGAATAGGATAGGACTTACGGTCAGAATGTTAGAGAAACATGGAGTGGGGCATCGAACGGGCTCGGAGTCAGAGTAGGAATGGCCAGGATGAGGTTGAGAAGGTGGACAGGGAGCCGTTCACGACAGGCTTTATTTACATGCCCTGCTAAATAATTTAGACTTAATTCTGAAGGTGCCGAGGGGTTGCACCCCTGCTAAATTAGATGCTAAAGACAGAGAATGGTTTCCAGATAGAAGCTTTCTGTGACTATTTCAGAATTTCTACATAAAGCAAGTTTAGGGGATAAGAATGAGTTTGGGAGTAAGGATTAGGGGACTCATCCCTCAGCTGCTTTTGGATTAGTAACTTAAGTGATTTTAAATAAATTAGTGATTTTATTCAGGATCACCCAAAAATAAAAACAAATAAATGATTTATTTATTTATTTTTACAAATAATGGGATGCTTAACTGAGTTTACAATACACAAACACAGACTGATTTAAAAAACGAGAAGAATTCCAACCATCAGTTATTGCAGGAATATGTTGTAGTATTTCTTAGTTAGTTCCTTTCATCAATTAACCTGAGAATTTTAAACATCCCCACTTTCTTTTTCTGACTGGTATTTTTTAGGAATACCAAACCTGGCATGGTTTGGGTAGAGGCCTGATAGAAATTACACTGAGGCCATATATTCTGCTCCCCAAGTCACTTCATGGTGCTTCCACTGTTAACAACTAAAGTGAAAAGAATTTTCTATACAGTCATCCCTCCATATCTGCTGGGCAGATACCAACATCAAAGGGTGCTCTAGTCCCAATTGTAAGGTGGCGTAGGATTTGCATGTAACATGCAAATCGCCTATACTTTAAATCATCTCTAGTTAATATCAAATACAATGCAAATGCTATGTAAATAGTTGCTATACCACATTGACCATTTTATTTGTATTTTTATTGGCACATTCCTTTTAATATTTTGATCCACAGTTGGTTGACTCAGACCAAAAAGAGGGCCAACTTATTAATGAAAGGGCTTATTTTTATTTTTTTGTTTTCTGTAAAGTGGCAAATAATAGCAATGTAGACATGCTGTTCCTTATGATTCTATGTGGATTCTGTAATTTTATGGCTTTTAATCACTTCTAAACACTTTGTTTTTATTTTTCAAAGATAGTGTTTGAATGTATAAAGCTCATTTTAGTTAATAACATTTGTTTTCTCTCTTTTGCTATTACTAATCTGTATTCTTAACTAGCTTTTTCTGTCTCTATACTTTATAGCATTAAGGGACATTGAGAAAACAAATTTTAGAAAAGAAAGGCTTATTGAAATAAGGAAGTCATGAGATTTTAAGACTACAGAGAATGAGAGTTCAATTGGCCAAATTCCCTCCTTTCTGAAAAGATCAAGCCTCAGATTTTAAGATCATGTTAGTCAGGTGGCATGACTCAAGTTATTGACCTATGTAAGCAGGACATACTAGCGATATAGAATTCCAGATCTAAAAATAAATAAAATCCACAAAGGGATATAATTATTAGCCAGGTTTTTAATTTTAATATAAATTTGGAGATGATCTGAACAACTGAGAGATGCAGGAATAACAGGAAAAAAAAAGACCAGGAAATGCATTAACATTGTGGGAGCAACTTTAATAAGTTGTCTGATAGAACAAAAGATTCTTTTCATATGGAAAGAACTGGGTACCAGATATGTGTCAGAAAAAAAAAAAATCACAAGCTCACATACTTGGTGAATTTAAGTTCAAGAACTTGGTTTTGAAAATGCAAATATGGCACTATGAATTGCACTGAATTGATTATGAACTGCAAATGAATTGTTGAAAGTTTTACTGAAAATTCTCTAATAGTATTCCCTAGATATTCTTTATACTTTTTCATCTCTGTTACTGTTTGCTCTGTAAACAGTAGGCACTATTTACTACTCAGAGATCATATCTGTAAAATGCCGATATGTTTTAGTCATAGAGAGAGGCTTTTCAGTTATAGAGGCTGTTATTCAGAACAGGTGGATGAAAGTTGATGCCTCTAATATTAAGGCATAGAAAGAATAATGCTATTGCTTCTGAATTTGGGGAGGTGGTGGCCGAACAACAAGGGAAGAATCAAACTTACATATTTTCTTCTAAGAAAATCGTGTGTATGTGCTTTGTATTGTTTTGTAGAAGTTTGCTAATAAAGATATCACCAAAGGCTAGAGAGAAAATCATCTAGAGGAAATGCTGGCAGTATGGCCTGTGTTTATTCAAAAATCTCTACAGCAGATTCTCTCGTTTTAGGGGTAAGATTACATTTTGACTGACTAAATTGAAGATCATTAACGATTTCTTTTTTTAAAAGGATATCTTGGATCTGAAGGACAGACTCGTTTAAATCAAAAGGGTAAAAGTTTATGTTTTTGAAATGTTGATTGTCTTCTACAAATTTTGAGTGATCTCATGTTCCTTCATAAACAAGTATGTGCTGAGATATAAGCATACAGACTAAACTAGCACACACAGGATAGCAGAGTAATCAAAGTAAGGTTTAAAAGGAAAGAAGAGAGTACTGTACTTACATCTATATAGTAGGATGACTATAAAGTTGTCTCAATTTATAAACATGTGAGGTTACAGTTTAGCTTTCTTAATAAACACCCACGAATTACGTGGATCACACTTTTTCACATCCAAAGGGGAAAAAACTTTTCCACTGATGTCAACTTTTCCTCTGAATTTGAATGTTGTGTAGATCAATTATCTAAGTCTTCTCAACTCTTCAGCAGAGGTTCTTAACCTCTTTGGGGTCACAGACCATTTTGGCATAGAATGAAAGCTCTGAATCTTCTTCCCAGGATTATGTACATGTCACAATCCTTCTCATTTTTTTTATTGGGAGCAGGGGGTAGGGGAGTCTGACCTCCTGATATTCAAATTGGTTCTAGATTAAGAATCATTTTTAAATAAGAAAACCTATCTTTTCCTTCTTCACACACTGGCAATTCTTTATAAATTTTGGCTAATTAGATACGTCATAGTTTTATGTAAAACAATAGCCAATCATATAAAAAGAGATAGTATTTTTCAAGCCCACTTACTTTTTTTTAGCAGTTGGGAAAGTTACATGGAATCACTATTCTTGATACCAGTATGCTTACATAAGACATTTGCCTGATGCCTTCTCTATTCTGGGCACCATATGAGAGGCTGGTGATAAAACAGTAAGAGAAACAAACTCCAGGCCCTGTAGGATTTTGCAGTCTAGTGGGGGATATTTCTCTAGTCAAATCCAAAGAACTTCTGGAAATATTACCATTCTTGCAAATTGAATGCAAGGGGAAACCTTAAATTCTAAACCTATAAAAATGCATGATTGTTACCAAAAAAGAGGCCTTTCCTTTCAAAAAAAATAAACTTCTCTAAAATATGTTTTAAAAATTAGCCAATTGCACATGCATGTTTCATAGATTGCCTGCTTTGCAAAGAGCTGGAACTCTTAAAACATTAAATAGCTTCCTGTTAAAATTTATATGAAAATAAAATTTATGTATCCTCTGTCATTTTTAAAGAGTAATCAAAAATATGATTAAATATATGAAATATGAGTTCACATATAAATTCAGAAATCAATTTACTGGGATTATCATTATATTCTTACAAATTAGAGTTGAGTAATAATTCTCCCCTATTTGTACTCCTTCCCCTGTCCAAGGTGAAAACCAAGTTCAAGCAAGTCCATTTTGGATATTCTCTGTATTACTGTGTTGGATTATGCCTCAATCCAGCGTATTTGTAAAAAAATTCATACCAAGTGCTCCTTGAATGAAAAGATAAATCAAGCCTTTATAAGATTTAAAAAGTTACTCATCTTTAATTAATTACTAGTGTACAAGAAAATGTTGGATTTATGGCTTCCTGCATCCCAGTAGATTAGTAACCATATTTTCTCTGAAGCACCCCCAGTATTCTTCTCTTGCGCCATTATTTGATAGGTAGGGAGAATAGACAGTGATCCAATCAAACTGTTAACTTACAAGAGAATTGGCCAGAGCCACTATTATTGAACAGCCTGTTGCTTTCGGTATGACTGATTCCTATTTGGTAAATCTCAGTCCTTCCTGATTTGGTCCTTCTTTCTGGGATAACCAATCCAGGAAATACATCGTTAAGTATATTGGTGCATTGCTGTTTTACTTTTGTATTTTCAAAGGTGCTAAATGCTTCTTATAGTTAACACTTATTGGAATTGTGTTTTAAATTACATTATTTTGGTACTAATAGCATTCTCTTTTCACAGGCTATCCAGATTATGATTGGTGTCTTTCATGTTTTCATGTGGTACTTCCTATTGGTTTTGTATATGGGACAAATTAAAGGAGTCTTTGGAACATATGAACCTATAACTTACAAAACAGGATGTACTTTATGGGGAACTTTCGTGAGTAGAATACCTATACATTATTTTAATCATACAATAAATAATATTCATGCCAATAGTAGAAGATAGGGAATAGTTTATAAACAAGGTTTTCAGGAGAATTATGTAACTAAATCCCATGTTGATAATTTATTCAAAGTCAGATTCCTTTTTTCAGCAAATATATATTGAGCACCTTTAATTTACAAAGTGCTGTTTCAAGAGATATGGATACAGGAGTACATAATGACAACCATAAGGTAGTTTGTCTCTAGATATGTGAAAGACAAAGAATCTTAACTACAATATCCATTAGAATGATTAACTTGCATGTTTACAATCTTCACTTTAGTCTCCTCATCCAGTGAGTCAATACTCATTTTCTAAATTTTTCTTACTGACACTCTCCTGTGGTTTCTAGATAGTCATTAGGTAGAAGGAAAACCTGGAGAGCATAGCACCCTGGAAGCCAAGTGAAGATTTTGTTAGAAGAAGTGAGGAAGGATCAACTGTATTATATTTTGTTGTTTTGTCAAATAAAATGAGGACTACAAATTGACCATTGGATTTAGCAATATGGAGGTCAGTAGTAAATTTTACAAGTAGTTTTGGTGGAATTGTGAGGCAAGAGCCTGGTAGGAATTGATTTAAGAAAATAATAGGAAAAGCGGAATTACAGACAGCAAATAGACAACTTCCTTAAGGACTTTACTGTAATGTGGCATACAGGAATGTGGTGATAGCTGGGGAAATTTGGCTTAAGAGAGGATTTGCTTACTATTTTTTTGTGAGGTGAAAGAAACAGCATCATCCTTTGTTGAGAGGACTGAACCAAAAGAAAGAAAATTGATGCTATGAGTAAATAGGGGTGGGTATTGGAAACAAGTGTTTGTGTAGGCAAGACATGATGAATTTTGGTGCACAAATAGCTAGGAGCATAGAAAGTTCATCCAGGGCAGTGGTTCTCAGCTAGAGGTGATTTTGCCCCTGAGAACATTTTATAATGTCTGGAGATATTTTGGATTTTCACAGCTGGAGGTGCACATCAGGTGGGCAGGGGCAAAAGATGCTGCTAAATAGCCTGCGACCCTCAGACAGTCCCTCACAACAAAGAATTATCCAGCCTAATTATAAATGGTTTCAAGGTATGAAAACAGGAGGGAAAGGCAGAGAAAGAGAAAGGACAGTTTTCTTTGATAGGATATTGGAAGCTTGTGGAAGTTTTTTGTTTGTTTGTTTGTTTTCCAGTAGCTTCAAATATCTCAGTGACTTAGGAAGCAAGATCATGAACTGAGATTGAGGATGGGCAAGTGGATCAGTTGTTTGAGGAAAAAAGAGAGAATGTGAAATAATCATCAAGGAAAAGTGAGAGAGTGCATGGATTGTGGAGAGATAGTTTTATTTTCATACGGTGTTAAGGACACACTTGAGGTTTAGGAACGGGATATGGGTTGTATGCCTTTCTGAGGCCGTGGTCAGCTGCATGAGTGCAGGCGTGCAGTAGGAGGAAAACAATCAGGATTTTTGTTTAGCAACTATAATAAAACAGGAAAGGTGCAAAGCCGTTGCAAGTGGGTATAAGGGAGTGTTTGTAATGGTTGGCCATGAAATTTAAGTTAGTGATGGAAAGAAGAATTTAACAGAGAGTTGAAGTTCTCAGATTATAGATCCAGGTAGGGTCAAAGGGTTGTTTGAATTTTAATACTAGAGGACATGAGCTAGAAAGATAGCAGGTGGTGACAGGGTGGAATACTTGAAATTAAGATGTGAAAGGTACAACAAGGACAAGAGAATGTCCTTATGGGAGTAAGTGACTAAGATAGTTTGGAGTCAGGGATTGGAGGAGAGAACAAGAACCACAAGCCCAAGATACTAAAAAGATGATATGGTTTGGCTCTGCATCCCCAACCAAATCTCATCTTTTAGCTCCCATAATTCCCATGTGTTATGGGAGAGACCCAGTGGAAGATAATTGAAATCATGGTGGGGGCAAGTCATTCCTGTGCTGTTCTTGTGATAGTGAATAAGTTTCACAAGATATGGTGGTTTTAAAAAATGGGAATTTTTCTGTCCCTGGCCCCTCTCAAATTTCATGTCTTCACATTTCAAAACTGTTCATGCCTTCCCACCATTCAACTTCTATTGGGACTTGTTGGGAAGTTCCACAAATCTTCCCAACAGTTCTCCAAAGTCTTAACTCAACATTAACTCAAAAGTCCACAGTCCAAAGTCTCATCTGAGACAAGGCAAGTTCCCCTCCACCTATGATCCTATAAAATCAAAGACAAGTTAGTTACTTCTTTGATACAATGGGGATACAGGCTTGGATAAATACAGCTGTTCCAAATGGGAGAAATTGGTTGAAACAAAGGCTACAGGCTCCATGAAAATCCAAAATCCAGTGGGGCAGTCAAATCTTAAATTTCAAAAATGATCTCCTTTGATTCCATGTCTCACATCCAGGCCATGCTGATCAAAGAAGTAGGCTCCCATGGCTTTGGGCAGCTCTGCCACTGTGGCTTTGCATGGTGTAGCCCTGCTTCTGGCTTTCACAGGCTGGTGTTGTCTGTGGCTTTTCCAAGCACAGAATGCAAGCTGTCAGAGGATCTACCATTCTGGGGTCTGGAGGTTGGTGGCCCTCTTCTCACAGCTCCACTAGGCGGTACCCCAGTAGGCAGTCAGTGTGGTGTCTCCAACTCCACATTTCACTTCTGCACTGCCCTAGCAGAGGTTCTCCATGAGGGCCCCACTCTTGCAGCAAATTACTGCCTGGGCATCCAGGCACCTCCATACATCCTTTGATATCTAGGCAGAGGTTCCAAACCTCAATTCTTGACTTCTGTGTACCCATAGGCTCAATACCACATGGAAGCTGCCAAGGCTTGGGGCTTGCATTCTCTGAATCCCTGACCCAAGCTCTACATTGACTCATTTCAGCCACAGCTGAAGCACCTGGGATGCAGGGCACCAAGTCCCTAGGCTGCACACAGCACAGGGGCCCTGGGCCTAGCCCACGAAACCACTTTTTCCTCCTAGGACTTGGGACCTGTGATGGGAGGAGCTGCTGTGAAGACCTCTGACATGCCCTGGAGACATTTTCCCCATTGTCTTAAGAACTGACATTGGGCTCCTCATTTCTTATGCAAGTTTCTGCAGCCAGCTTAAATTTCTTCTCAGAAAATGGGTTTTTCTTTTCTATGACATTGTCAGGCTGCATTTTTTTTTAACTTTTATGCTTTGCTTCCCTTATAAAACTGACTGACTTTAACTGCACCCAAGTCACCTCTCAAATGCTTTGCTGCTTAGAAATTTCTTCTGCCAGATACCCTAAATCGTCTCTCTCAAGTTCAAAGTCCACAAATCTCTAGGGCAAAATGTCACCAGTCTCTTTACTGAAGCATAACAAGAGTCACATTTGCTCTAGTTCTCAACAAGTTCCTCATCTCCATCTGAGACCACTTCAGCCTTGATTTTGTTGTTCATATCATTATCAGCATTTTGGCTAAAGCCATTCAAAAGTCTCTAGGGAGTTCCAAACGTTGGCACATTTTCTTGCCTTCTTCTGATTTGTCCAAACTGTTCCAATGTCTGCCTGTTACCCAGTTCCAAAGTCACTTCCACATTTTCTGGTATCTTTTTCAGCAGCAATCCACTCCTGGTACCAATTTAGTGTATTAGTCCATTTTTATGCTGCTGATAAAGACATGCCTGAGACTGGTCAATTTACAATAGAGGTTTATTGTACTTACAGTTTCTTATGACTGGGAAGGCCTCACAACTGTGGCAGAAAGCAAGGAGGAGCAAGTCATATTTTATGTGGATGACAGCAGGCAAAGAGAGAGGACTTGTACAGGGAAACTCCAATTTTTAAAACCCTCAGATCTCATAAGACTTATTCACTATCACAAGAACACCATGGGAAAGACCCACACCCATGATTCAATTATCTTTCACTGAGTCCCACCCACAACACACAGGAATTATGGGAGAGCTACAAGATGAGATTTGGGTGGGGACATGGAGCCAAACCATGTCAAAAGACTGTGTGGGGGGCAGGAGAGGGGGGTGTGTAAATCACCAAAGATTAAGTCATGTTGAAGAGAGAGTCAAAATTTCACCTCATCCCAAAAGACGAATGGCTGAGGGGTCAATAGATTACTTCAACCATGAGGGATAGTGAGTGATAGAACCTGACATGTGGCTCAAAGGTGGAGGAGAAAGAATGGTTGGATAGCAGTAATGAGCAAGGAAACCACTCAAGACATACTTGGAACAGATGTGGGCTTAATAGGAATGAGGGCTGTAGGATACAAAATGGCTGCCCCTTGAGACAACAAGTGATCACTAGAAGAAACAGTGATCTCTAGGAGGTTTCCCACTTTTATACACATACCAGCTTATAAGTGTCAACTGATTGCCTTGGGAAAAAAAATAGTAGAAAAATATTGAATTTTCACACAAAATCCAAATGATACATGGTTCATAAAGAATGCATGGCTCATAAATAACACACTGGTTTACAGGTGATAAATGATAAATCACTCACTGGCTCACAAAGGTCAAAGCACTGCCTTGGGAAAAAATCAGAGAAAAATTGTGGATTTTCAGACAAAATCTAAATAAATGATGCATTTTCCTTAGTGTTTAACCATTTGCATTATAAAAATAGTATATTTAACCCCTAGGATAACTTATCTAAAATTTGAATTAAATATAATTTAAAACTAAACTTCTCACTTAAGCCTAAACTTTGAAAGGCATTTTTTAAAGCACATGGTGATCTATAGATAAACTCATTAGAGAGCACTCTGGTTCAAAATTCACAAGATATTTTCACTTTATATTCTAAGCTAGCTCTTACTTTCACTGTGTACCTCCTTAAAAATCTCAACTTTTGTTGTGGAATGAAGTGCTGAACATATAGATTTAAAATTATCCATGGGCAGTTTGTAAGGTTCAGGTTTGGGCTTCCAATGTATAGTGTATAGTGTGACAAAAATAGCCTTTGACTTGGATCTTTAGTGTCTTATCACTAAAACAAATAAGACAAGGAATATTTTGAGAAAATTGTGCAACCCATCTTCAAACAATATGGCATAGTTTTATACTTCATGGAAGTAGATAGACTTCCTAACATGAAAATACCTCTGTTTTAAAAAACAAAGGCAAAGGCATGAATTTCTGTCATTACCTTAATAATGACTACAATCTCATAAAAGAGACTGCAGGTTTTGTACCATCACGATGTGGAATAGACTCTTGAACCACTTTTTCCATATTTGGATATGTACATAGTAATCATAATTAGTGGCATCATCTCATTAGAAAAGATAGCATTAAAAGCAATAATCAAATGAGATATATATGATGTAGCTCATACACATAAAAGCAAACTTGGTTCCCAGTTCAGGACTACATAGGCTGTCTTTGGCATATTACCACAATGTGAATCTGCACACTGTACCCTAGATGTTTCTGTTATGAGTGACCCTACTGTTACCTTTCACTGTAATACTGCATGATGTAAATTTGTCCTGACCTGTCTACTAAAACTTCTTTATATTTTGCTACTATTAGCATTCTTAAAATAATTGCCTTAGAAGAGAGTTGTTAAAAATACATTCTAAATTGGCAAGCATTATCAATGAGTATTTATGAATATGTTTTTATATCCAGTTTATCATTGCAGGAGCCTTCATAATAAGAGTAACAAAGCATCCAACTCGATCTGGAGTAAGTTAAAATGTTTGAGGTATCTCTAGAAATCACTTGTCACAAAGCTAAATATTAATTTAAATGAAAATATAATATCTAAACAATGAAGGAATCTACCCTATCTGTAAAATAAATGAAGGAATTAAGGGTGAATCTAGAAGAACATAATTTAATGTAGACAAATATACTGTATTAGTTAAAATCATGATGACTTTATATACAGGTTTCTAAACGAATATATAGTTTTTGTTTTGTTTGATATTAAACCTTTTAACATTGTATAAACTTTATAATTAGGAAACTTTTAATAGGACCTAATGACTTTAGATATAGACATTTTACTATTGTAAATCTTCGTTTTCTGAACTATCCTGTTTGGGAAAAGGATTGTATCTTGTAACAAAGTAGGGAATTGTCCAAATTAAAGACTCATGCATGGTTTAAGTAGATCGATATTGGGAAGGTGGACACTTTAGAATCTTAGAGCTAAAACATACGTTAGAAAGTAGCCTTCTCTCATAATTTTACAGATAAAAAACTGATGTCTAAAGATATTGATAGATTTCCTTAGATAATGAAAACCCAGGATTAAAATTTTATCAGCTAAATCCTATTTCTACAGGCAGTCACTTTTTATCTTCTTTTTTTCCTACAGTGCAACCACTTTTGTTCAAATCATATCTTATATGCTTTCTTCCAAATGGCTCACAATATTGAAAAATACAATTTTTTAAATTATACTTTAAGTTCTGGGGTACACGTGAAGAATATGCAGGTTCGTTATATAGGAATATACGTGTCATGGTGGTTTGCTGCATCCATCACCCCATCATCTACATTAGGAATTTCTCCTAATAATATCCCTCTGCTATCCCCCCAGCCCCTGCTATCTCTCCCTTAGCCCCCCACTCCCCAACAGGCCCCAATGTGTGATGTTCCCCTCCCTGTGCCCATGTGTTCTCATTGTTCAACACCCACTTATGAGTGAGAACATGCAGTGTTTGGCTTTCTATTCTTATGTCAGTTTGCTGAGAATGATGGTTTCCAGCTTTATCCATGTCCCCGCAAAGGACATGGACTCATCCTTTTTTATGGCTGCATAGTATTCCATGGTGTATATGTGCCACATTTTCTTTATCTAGTCTATTATTGGTGGGCATTTGGGTTGGTTCCAAGTCTTTGCAACTGTGAACAGTGCCACGATAAACATATGTGTACATGTGTCTTTATAATAGAATGATTTGTATCCTTTGGATGTATGCCCAGTAATGGGATTGCTGGGTCAAATTGAATTTCTATTTCTAGATCCTTGAGGAATCGCCACACTGTCGTCCACAATGGCTGAACTAATTTTCTGAAGTAATTTCCCACCAACATTGTAAAAGTGTTCCAATTTCTCCACATCCTCTCCAGCATCTCGTCTCCTAATTTTTAATGATCGTCATTCTAACTGGCATGAGATGATATCTCCATGTGGTTCTGATTTGCATTTCTCTAATGACCAGTGATGATGAGTTTTCACGTTTGTTGACTGCATAAATGCCCTTTTTTGAAAAGTGTCTGTTCATATTCTTTTCCCACTTTTTGATGGAGTTGTTTTTTTTCTTGTAAATTAAGTACTTTGTAGATTCTGGATATTAGCCCTTTGTCAGATGGGTAGATTGCAATAAACTTTTCCTATTCTGTTGGTTGCTGGTTCACTCTAATGATAGTTTTTTGTTTTTGTTTTTTGCTGTGCAAAGGCTCTTTAGGTTAATTAGATCCCATTTGTCAATTTTGGCTTTTGTTGCCATTGCTTTTAGTGTTTTAGTCACGAAGTCTTTGCCCATGCCTATGTCCTGAATGGTTTTGCCTAGGTTTTCTTCTAGGGTTTTTATGTGTTAGGTCTCATGTTTAAATCTTTAATCCATCTGGAGTTAATTTTTGTATAAGGTGTAAGGAAAGGATCCAGTTTCAGCTTTCGGCATATGGCTAGGCAGTTTTCCCAACACCATTTATTAAATAGGGAATACATTCCCCATTGCTTGTTTTTGTCAGGTTTGTCAAAGATCAGATTGGTTGCAGATGTGTGGCATTATTTCTGAGGCTTAGTTCTGTTCCATTGGTCTATACCTGTGTTTTGGTACCAGTACCACGCTATTTTGATTACTGTAGCCTTATAGTGTAGTTTGAATTCAGGTAGTGTGATGTTTTCAGCTTTATTATTATTATTTTGCTTATGATTGTCCTGGCTATGCAGGCTCTTTTTTAGTTCCATATGAAGTTTAAGGTGTTTTTTTTCTTCCAATTCTGTGAAGAAAGCCAATGGTAGCTTGATGGGGATAGCATTGAATCTATAAATTTCTTTGGGCAGTATAGCCATTTTTCATGATACTAATTCTTCATAACCATGAGCATGGAGTGTTTTTCCATCTGTTTGTGTCCTCTCTTATTTCCTTGAGCAGCAGTTTGTAGTTTTCCTTGAAGAGGCCCTTCACATCCCTTATTAGTTGTATTCCAAGGTATTCTATTCTCTTTGTAGCAATTGTGAATGGGAGTTCACTCATGATTTGGCTTTCTGTTTGTCTGTTATTGGTGTAAAGGAATGCTTGTGATTTTTGCATATTGATTTTGTATCCTGAGACTATGCTGAAGTTGCTTATCAGCTTAAGGAGATTTTGGGCTGAGATGATGAGGTCTTCTAAATATACAATCATGTCATCTGCAAATAGAGACAATTTGATTTCCTCTTTTTCTAATTGAATACCCTTTATTTCTTTCTCTTGCCTGATTGCCCCAGCCAAAACTTCCAATACTATGTTGAATAGGAGTGGTGAGAGAGACCATCATTTTCCTGTGCTAGTTTTCAAAGGGAATGCTTCCAGTTTTTGCCCATTCAGTATGATGTTGGCTGTGGTTTTGTCATAAATAGCCCTTATTATTTTAATATATGTTCCATCGATATCTAGTTTATGAGAGTTTTTAATATAAAGGGCTGTTGAATTTTGTCAAAGTCTTTTTCTGCATCTATTGAGATAATCATGTGGTTTTTGTCTTTGGTTCTGTTTATGTGATGGATTATGTTTATAGATGTGTGCATGTTGAACCAGACTTGCATCCCAGGGATGAAGCTGTCTTGATCATGATGGATATGCTTTTTGATGTTCTATTGGATTTGGTTTGCCAGTATTTTATTGAGGATTTTTGTATCAAAGTTCACCATGGATATTGGCCTCAAAATTTCTTTTTTTAGTTATATCTCTGTCAGGTATTGGTATTAAGATGATGTTGGTCTCATAAAATGAGTTTGGCAGGAGTCCCTCTTTTTGTATTGTTTGGAATAGTTTCAGAAGGAATGGTGCCAGCTCCTCTTTGTACCTCTGGTAGAATTCAGCTATGAGCCCATCTGGTCCTGGACTTTTTTTGGTTGGTAGGCTATTAATTGCTGCCTCAATTTCAGACCTTGTTATTGGTCCATTCAGGGATTTTACTTATTCCTGGTTTAGCCCAGGGAGAATGTAAGTGTCCAGGAATTTATCCATTTCTTCTAGATTTACTGGTTTATTTGCATAGAGGTGTTTGTAGTAATCTCTGATGATAGTTTGTATTTCTGTTGGATTGGTAGTGATATCCCCTTTATCATTTTTTATTGCATCTAGTTGATGCTTCTCTCTTTTCTTCTTTATTATTCTGGCTAGTGGTCTATTTTGTTGATCTTTTCAAAAAACCAGCTCCTGAATTCACTGATTTTTTGAAAGCTTTTTTCTGTCTCTATTTCCTTCAGTTATCCTCTGTTCTTAGTTATTTGTCGTCTTCTGCTAGCTTTTGAATTTGTTTGATCTTGCTACTCCAGTTCTTTTAATCATGACATTAGGATGTCAATTTTAGATCTTTCCTGCTTTCTCTTGTGGCATTTAGTGCTATAAATTTCCCTTTAAACACTGCTTTAAATGTGTCCCAGAGATTCTGGTATGTTGTGTCTTCATTCTCATTGGTCTTGTAGAACATATTTATTTCTGCCTCCATTTATTTATTTATCCAGGAGTCATTCAGGAACAGGTTGTTCAGTTTACCTGTAGTTCTGCAGTTTTGAGTGAGTTCTTAATCCTGAGTTCTAATTTGATAGCACTGTGGTCTGAGAAACTGTTTGTTATCATCTCCATTCTTTTGCATTTGCTGAGGAGTGTTTTACTTCCAATTGTGTGGTCAATTTTAGAATAACTGTGATGTGATGCTGATAAGAACGTATATTCTGTGGATCTAGGGTGTCTGCAGATGTCTATTAGGTCCGCTTATTCCAGATCTGAGTTCAAGTCCTGGATATCCTTGTTAATTTTCTGTTTCGTTTATCTGTCTGATATGGACAGTAGGATGTTAAAGTCTCTCACTGTTATTGTGTGGGAGTCTAAGCCCCTTTGTAGGTCATTAAGAACTTGCTTTCTGTATCTGAGTGCTCCTATCTTGAGTGCATATATATTTAGGATAGTTAGCTCTTGTTGTTGCATGGATCCCTTTACCACTATGTAATGCTCTTGTCTCTTCTGATCTTTGTTGGTTTAAAGTCTGCTTTATCAGAGACTTGGATTGCAACCCCTGCTTTTTTTTTCTTTTTTCTTTTTTCTTTTTTTTTTTTTTTTTTGGCTCTCCATTTTCTTGGTAAATCTTCCCCCGTCCCTTTATTTTGAGTCCATGTGTGTCTTTGCATGTGAGATGGGTTTCCTGAATACAGCACACCAATTGGTCTTGATTCTTTATCCAATTTGCCAGTCTGTGTGTTTTGATTGGGGCTTTTAGCCCATTTACATTTAAGGTTAATATTGTGATATTTGAATTTGATCCTGCCATTTTGATACTAGCTTGTTGTTTTGCCTGTTAGTTGATGTAGTTTCTTCAGTGTTGATGGTCTTTACAATTTGGTATGTTTTCGGAGTGGCTGGTGCTGGTTCTTCTTTTTCATGTTTAGTGCTTCTTTCAGGAGCTTTTGTATGGCAGGCCTAGTGGTGACAAAATCTCTCAGCAGTTGCTTTTTCATAAAGGATTTTATTTCTCCTTCACTTATGAAGCTTAGTTTGGCTGGATATGAAATTCTGGGTTGAAAATTCTTTTCTTTAAGAATATCTAGGCCGGGCGCGGTGGCTCATGCCTGTAATCCCAGCACTTTGGGAGGCCGAGGCGGGTAGATCATGAGGTCAAGAGATCGAGACCATCCTGGTCAACATGGTGAAACCCCGTCTCTACTAAAACTACAAAAAATTAGCTGGGCATGGTGGCGCGTGCCTGTAATCCCAGCTACTCAGAAGGCTGAGGCAGGGGAATTGCCTGAGCCTAGGAGGCGGAGGTTGCGGTGAGCCGAGGTATTTGCACTCCAGCCTGGGTAACAAGAGTGAAACTCTGTCTCAAAAAAAAAAAAAAAAAGAATATCTAATATTGGCCCCCACTCTTTTCTGGCTTAGGGTTCTGCCGAGAGATCCACTGTGAGTCTGGGCTTCCCTTTGTGGGTAACGTGACCTTTCTCCCTGGCTGCCCTTAGTATTTTTTTCTTCATTTCAACCCTGGTGAATCTGATGATTATGTGTCTTAGGGTTGGTCTTCTTGAGAAATATCTTTGTGTTTTCTCTGTGTTTCCTGAATTTGAATGTTGGCCTGCCTTGCTAGGTTGGGGAAGTTCTTCTCAATAATATATTGAAGAGTGTTTTCCAACTTAGTTTCATTCTCCCTGTTACTTTCAGATACACCGATCAAACATAGATTTGGTCTTTTCACATAATCCCATATTTCTTGGAGGCTTTCTTCATTTCTTTTCACTCTCTTTAATCTTGCCTTCTGGCTTTATTTCACTGAGTTGATCTTCAATTTCTGATATCCCTTCTTTCACTTAATTGATTCGGCTTTTGAAACTTGTGTATGCTTCACGAAGTTCTCATGCTCTGTTTTTAAGTTCCACCAAGTCGTTTATGTTCTTCTCTATGCTGGTTATTCTAGTTAGCATTTTTTCAAACCTTTTTTCAAGGTTCTTAGCTTCCTTGCATTGGGTTAGAACATGCTCCTTTAGCTCGGAGAAGTTTGCTTCTGAAGCCTGCTTCTGTCAATTCATCAAACTCATTCTCTATCTAGTCCTGTTCCCTTGCTGGTGAGGAGTTGTGATTCCTTGGAAGAAAAGATGCATTTTAGTTTTTGGAGTTTTCGGCCTTTTTGTGCTGGTTTCTTCCCATCTTCATGGATTTATCTACCTTTGGTCTTTGAAGTTGGTGACCTTTGGATGAGGTCTCTGAGAGAATGTCCTTTCTGTTGATGTTGAAACTATTTCTTTCTGTTTGTTAGTTTTCCTTCTAAGATTCAGGCCCCTCTGCTGCAGGCCTGCTGAAGTTTGCTGGAGGCCCACTCCAGACCATGCTTGCCTGGGAATCACAGGTGCCGGCTTCAGAACAGCAAACATTGCTGACTGTTCCTTTCTCTGGCAGCTTTATTCTAGAAGGGTACCTGCTAGATGCCAGCCAAAGCTCTCCTGTATGAGATGTCTGTCAGCTCCTGCTGGAAGGTGTCTCCCAGTCAGGATACATGAGGTTCAGGGAGCCATTTGAGGAGGCAGTCTGTCCCTTATCAGAGCTCAAGTGCTATGCTGGGAGATCCATTGCCCCGTACAGAGCTGCTGGGCAGAGATGTTTAAGTCTGCTGAAGCTGAACCCACAAATGCCCCTTTTCCCAGGTGTTCTGTCCCAGGAAGGTGGGGCCTTTATTTATAAATTCCTGATGGGCTGCTGCTTTTTTCAGAGATGCCCTGCCCAGCAAGAAGGGAGTCTAGTGACACTGTCTGCCTGCAGTGGCCTTGCTGAGCTGCCGTGGGCTCCACTGAAAAGTATAATATTTTTAGCCTAAATGGAAGATTGATGAATAATGAACTGATGATGTTAATGTTTCCTCTAGATTAACTGGCCTTTATATAAATTAGAAAAATATTTTCTTAATACTTGCTACTTCTAAGACTTAATACTTCTAAGACTTCAGAAACTAGATCAAAGTTCTAACTAGATGACTTTTTTCAGCAATGCAAACTATTACACCAAAATATTTATTCTGAATATATTTACCCTCTGTCTCCTTTTCAGATTATATGTACTTTAATCATAAACGTCTTCTGCATAATGACTACAATCATTGCCATAATTCTAACAATAATTGAGTTGTCTCATTTTAAGTCTGTGTCATATAGGAATTATGGACAAGCGGTAAGTGACCAGTTCTATGGGAACACATTAATTTTTAAATTATTCTTTTTAACGATTTTGAAATCTTAGGAGGTAACATGAGCCTTTTATTCATCCTTATGAAATTCTTTGATTTACTAATGAGCTCTTGATTGAAAATTTTAAATCAAAAAATTCTAGGCTGTGGGTTTTAGTAAATATTAAAAGAACGTTTGAATTCTTGACTTGCTGAATTAACGTAAATAAAAATGTGAAGCCTTCAATGGTAAGTGCCTGTGTATTAGGCACAGAGTCATTTAATGATTCTCTTAATACAAGAAAAGTATAATCCTGGACCATAAAACCATTTTGCAAATAAACAAAAAAACTCTGCTACTGACACATACAGTTCTAATTGTAGACACCTAGTAATTTCTGGCTTAACCTAGAGCTTTTCATATATAGCATATCTTTGCATCTTATGTGAATTTTGCTTTAAGTCCAAAAATGCTAAATGTAAATAAGCCTAGCTTGTTTCCATTTAGTTATCCAGTAAATGTGAAGACTTTTCCTATTAACACAATAGATTTATTTTAATTATATTGGTTTTAAATTCAGAATCATAGAATATAGCACTGCAAAAGACCTTAGCAAAGCTAGTTTAAAAAAACAATCTCACATTTAAAATGAGGACAGATTGGAGTGAAACACCTTGTTTGACCAACAGAACAAAACAAATAGCAATTTCAGTAATGAGTAGAAAAGTCACTGCAGGTGGAGGATAAACTTCCTCCTCCTCCTCTACACACTTCCTCTCCATACTGTGACATGTTATTAAGGGGACCATCAGAGGAAAGAATCCAAACCTGGAGAACAAAACCCTGGAGGACAGTGAGAAATAATAGAAAAATGCAATAATACTCCAAAATATATTATGTGTAATGAGTGATTATTTTAACAAACATAGATTTTTCCTGTAAATTATAAGAAAATTGTCCAGTTGCCCTGGACATTCAATTTAGAAATCTTTAGTTCTAATTTTGGGGGTAGAGAATAGGGAAGGAGGACTTAAGTTATTAAGTGCATAATTGTTTCAAGTTATATATCACCAATCATCTTATTCATGAACTTTCAATCATGAGTTTAATATGGCATAATTGCCAAGGATTGCCTTTTGCAGTCAGTGTTACAAATAACTGTAGTCTATATTTACCTGAATAATGATCAGTTTTACAATCTCTCAAAATCACAAGTTTCAGCACAAGTTTGCTGTATTAGTTACACAAAATGAACTTGTATATTAGAATTATATCTCTAAGCCACCAACTATTTCTAGTGGCATTATAGAATTATATACTTACACTTGCTAAGAGAGCCAACATTTTACAGGACTTTTGCATGCCAATTTTTCTAACATGAACAAGGGTCTTGTTTATGTTACAAACTTACCAAGTTACCTGTGTTCCCAGGCAGGGTCAGAAAAGTGCATGCATCTGAAATATGTTCCTCATATAGCAAAATGGTTACTAGTATAAACTCCAGAATCAGAGTGCACTTATTTAAATACTGACCTCAGTACTCCCTGTGTGTAAACCCTTGGAAATTTTTTTTAACTTCCCTGTTTCCAAGTTTTATTTTATGTAAAATGAAGAAAATGCCTATTAGTTAAGTGCTCTGTTCTTTCTTCCAAACTCCCAGTCTGTTGTTTTAAAGGCTAGTTTGACTTTTCTATTTGGCTATGCTTCTATCACTATCGTATCAAACTCAACATATATAAAATGGAAATTATTTACCTCCTCAAAAGTACTATACTGCAAGGCTTCCTTGTTTCAATCTCCCACACACAAAACCTTGACATAATACCTCATCTTTCTACTATCTTTATAATTATCAAATATTGTTTATTCTTTAAGTATTTATTAATTAGGGTTATCTTGGCTTTAATTAACAGGAAATTCCACCCAAGTTAAGACAAAAAGGGTCACTTACTGACTTAAGCTTGGTCCAGAAGCTAGCTTACAGTTTACATCATCTGCCAGGGTGCCAGGGACTCATTCTCTCTCTCTCTCCCCCTCTCTCTCTCTCTCTCTCCCTCTCTGTGTGTGTGTGTGTGCACGCACGTGCACGCGTTCGTGTCTCCTCAGTTGTTTTCATATTTGAGCTGTTCTGGCTGACCTTTTGCCACTTTCAGTCAGGGAGAGAGTTTTAAAATAGCACTCTCATATAAATTAAGGAATTCGGGGCCGAGCTCATTGGCTCTCGCCTGTAATCCCAGCACTTTGGGAGGCTAAGGCAGGTAAATCACTTAAGGTCAGGAGTCCAAGGCCAGCCTGGCCAACGTGGTGAAACACCATCTTCACTAAATATACAAAAGTTAGCCAGGCATGGTGGCAGACACCTGTAATCCCAGCTACTTGGGAGGCTGAGGCATGAGAATTGTTTGAACACAGGAGGCAGAGGTTGTAGTGAGCCAAGATTGTGCCACTGTACTCTAGCCTGAGTGATAGAGTGAGACTTGTTCTCAAAAAAAATTTAAATTAAAAAATAAAAAAATAATAATGAATAAGGGCAAAATGACTCTTCACAGTCTTGTCATCTAAGAGGCCAGAAGTACTTTCTAGCTAAAATGTTATGATTGTTATGGTTGTGCATTTCTGCCAACAAAATTAAATCAAAATTATTTACCTTGGTATTTCATACCTTCTACATCTTTTCCTTATCATCCTGTTTATATCATATATAAATGAACACTATGTTTCAGTTAAAACATGTTTTACCATTTTCTCAAAACATTATATTGCCTACATTCAGTTTTGTTCTCACATTAAAAACCATAGGTTATTCTGATATATATTTTAGCTTTATTATTGGTTCTATTTTATGTCTCAATTTTTAAATTATTTTGTGACACTTTTAATTTATGCTATTAAACTTCTTCTGAAACAAGATAGGTTAGAAAGAAGCAAATAAAAATTTAAAGTTGCCTAGAATGTTGCTTACTCCCTTCGTTTTTCTCAGTCCTACTCTTATTTCAAATGTCTTACCATTTTATGAAGCCTTCTCAGAGACTAACAGCTTAGAGTGAAACTCCTGTTCTCTATAATAATTGAGCAAGTTTTTATCCATTTTATATGGTACCTTATATTATCTTTCTGTCTCTTCTACTTCATTATAAACTCTGAGAAATCAGGAAGTTTTTATGTGTCATTGCATTCCTATCATCTAATTCTTACCACCAGATAGTTTCTTGAATATAAAAGATATTAAATAAATACAATAAAGAAAGAGGAGGAAGAGTTAGAGAAGAAATTGAAGGGGATGTCATTATTTCTAGATCTGGGTATCATTCTTGTCTTTCCACAGCCAGCACAAAACCCACATTTTCAGGATAAGCACTGATATTATTCACATAACTAACCAATCGGATTTGCAGTTGAAAATATTTGTTTTATTTATCCCAGCAACCACAGTCATCTCTGCTTCCAAGTTAAATGTTCTTTGAACTCGTTTTCAATTTACTAATCATTTTAAATGATATTAGAGCAATATCTATGTGAGAGTTCTATTACCACATATGTAAATTTGAGAAGGGTTGTCATTAATAATAGCTGTTTTAAGAGAAAAGGATTGCTTGATAAATCTGTTGGTGGCCACCTTATCATTAGAGGCAGGAGAGTCAAATCTTAGTAACTGAAGAGCTTAGTGAGCTGTGCCAACGACTCTGTAAAAGCTGTCAGAAGTGAGACAAGAATGCTAAACAATGGAGATCAAGTACAGAAGCCACAGATGCTGAATTGAGGAACTGAAAGCTAGAGAAAGTATAGCAGAGGGCAGAGGAGTAGAAATGCCTAAGGAAATCAAATGGTGAAGGGTTTATCTGTTCTTATTTTCCTTCCTGTTTTTGTCTCTCATACCAGTAACTCCTTCCATGATCATGATTGCACTCACTAAAGATAATAACATAAGATTTCTCCCTGTTTTTTGGTTATAGAAACTTGGGAGGGAAGTATCACGTATTTTACTGTTCTTCTACCCTTTGGAATTTTCTATTGCACTTGCATACTCAATATGTAGCTGTTGCAATTTGGTAAGTATTTACCCACTCTCTGGCAAATCAAAAGATGTTGATTTCTGGTAAGCACACTCTATGAGGAAATGAAATGTATTGATACAAAATGTTTAGAACTAGTAAAAATTGAATGTGTGGTATTTCCTTTATTTTTTATTTTTGTTTTATAAATAGAAAACATAAAATTATACAAGTAATACATAAAACTAAATTTAAAAGTAAAAAGCATATAGAGTAAAAAGTGATTGTTTCCTTAATATAATCCACATCATAGCCACACATCCAATTCTATACAAAAAAAGACCAATACACACACATTTTCTTTTTTACTAATTGTATGTATTATATTCACATTGTTTTGTCACATGTATTTTTACAATAATTAGAAATATCTTTCCATTACAAAACATATCTAAATAATGCCTTTTATTACCTTCATTGTTTTTCTTAGCATTAAACATTCCCTAACTACTGCATATGTAGCTTTGTTTCCAATTTTTTCTAGTGTATAAACAATGATGCAGTGAACATATGAATATAAATATTTTTGCATACAGGACCACTGTTTCTTTAGGTGGTTGATTCCTAGAAATGTAATTCCCATATCAAGTTTAACAACATCCCCAAATACTATAACAACTCACAAAAGTTTATGAGAATGATTATTTTCTCACAAGCTTAAAAGACTATATATCTTACCTTCATTCACTCATTCTTGAATATTTATGGAAAGCATGCTATTTGCTAGGCATTGTAATAGGCACTAAGGATGCAATGATTAACAAAACAATGTTCTTTCCATTAAGGAACTTGCATTCCATTGTGGGAGAAAGGCAATCAACAAACACATAAAAATATAAAATAATGTCAAGAGGTAAAAAAATATTATGGAGTACAATAAAGCAAAGTACGGAGATAAGGCAAGATTATTTTACTTAGAATGGTCAGGGAAGACTCCTGCAATCAACAACAAATTGAAATACAGAAACAACTATAAGACTATATGGTAAAAGTATTTTTAAAGAGAGGGAATGAGTTGCATTTCCAGAATGGCTGATTGAAGACATGGCAACTCTCCCTAAAAATGAAATTATAAAACTAAACAATATTATCAATAAACAACCTTCTAAAGATTAAGGAAGTTGGCCAAGCATACAAGAAATTGACAAGTGTTTATTTATGAAAATCTACTGGGCCTCAGAACAGTGGATGTCTGTTGCATGTTTGGGACTTTCCTGTTCTTCCGACCTGTAATGGTTAGGCTTTGTGCCCCCACCCAAATCTCATCTTGAACTGAAATCCCCAGTGTTGAAGGAGGATCCTGGTGGGAGAAATTGAATCATGTGGGCAGTCTTCCCCATGATATTCTCATGGTAGTGAATGAGTTCTCATGAGATCTGATGGTTTTATAAGTGCTTAACAAGTTCCTCATTCACTCTTCTTTCTCCTGCTGCCATGTGAAAAAAGTCCTTGCTTCTCCATTGCCTCCTGTCATGATTGTAAGTTTCCTGAGTCCTCCCCAGCCATGTGGAACTGTGAGTCAGTTAAACTACTTTCCTTAAAAATTACCCAATCTTAGGAAGTTCGTTGTAGCAGTGTGAAATGGACTAATACACCACCACCCTCAGATTCTGTTACACAGAAGTTTACATTGGTGGGTCAGACTGTGAGCCGCAGCAGCCTCACTGCTTGAGATAACTAGTTTTATCTGGAGCAGAGCTCAGAAAGTTCTATGACCAAGAGGGTTATTAAAACAACAGTAATCCCTGTGGCAAACAAGCAGATAAGGCCAATGTCACTACTAGCCCGACTAAGATCACAATACTTTGGGGCAAAAAATGTACTGCAACCAACTAGAAACTTAAGAGAGAAATTCGGAGAACAGGACAGTCACAGTGGACCTTGATAACGTCCTACTTTTCCCCTGTGGTCTGGAAGAATATAAATATGTGCAAAGCTATACACATACTAAGGAGACTGAAGAAGGTCCTAGCGAGCACTTGGTTGAACAAGAGGCCTTGCAAAAATAAAGTAAAAGCTGGGCAGCCTAAACTTTGAATATACTGCTCAAGCTACACTGATTCATTGAGAAAGGGTGGAAGTCTTACTGGCCTAATGTATCTAATACTTTCCTAGAGTTTTTATAACAAAGCACCACAGATTGTGTGGCTTAAACAACAAATTTATTTTTCTCACAATTTTAGAGGCTTGAAGTTCAAGATTAAGCTGTTGGCAGGGTTAGTTTATTCTGAGGCCTTTATCCTTGGCTTTCACTTGGCTGTCTTCTCCCCGTGTCTTCACATGGTCTTCTCTCTTTATGTGTCTGTGTCCTAGCCTCTTCTAAGCACACCAATCATATTCTATTGGAGCTCATTCTAATTACCTCATTATAACTTCAATGATACTTAAAAGACCCTATCTCTAAATACAGTCACATTCTAAGTTACTGAGAGTTAGGATTTCTAGTATTCCAAGATACTGGTGGTTAGCAATAACCACCACTCCTGGAAAATGAGGCAATCAAAATCCAAAATTGCTACCATATATTTTCTAAAATATCCAGTTTTCAACAACAAAAAATATGCAAATAATAGGAAATAGTTACCCTTACAGTTCAAAACAACACTTAATAGATATAGTGTCTTGGAGCAAGGGAAGGACAAATGTTAAACTTAACAAAGAAAGACTTCAAAAATAAGTAAAGTAAATATGTTTGAAGAATTATAGGATGACAACAATGATTCATCAAATAAAACCCAATAAAAGAGAGACTTTTTTTTTTTAAAGTGGAAATTCTAGAGTTTAAAAATACAAGAACTGAAATGAAAAATCCACGAGAGGAACTCAAGAGCAGATATGACCTGACAAAAGACAAAATAAAGAGACATAAAGATAGCAAAAAAGATACTACCCAGTCCGAAGAACAGGAAAAAACAAAAAAGAAGAAAACTGAACAGAGCCTCCAAATCCTTTCAGATACCATTCAAATGTATAATGAGAGTCCTATAAAAATGGGAAGAATTGTAAAAATTAAAGAAATAATGGCCCTAAATTCCCCTAATTTCATGGAAAATATTCAATATATCCAAAAAGCTCAATGATATGCAAGTAAAATAAACACAAAGATCCAATCCTAGACATCTCCATGTCAAACTGATAAAAAAAATCTTGAAAGCAGCAGAAAAAAAAAATGACACTTCATACATTAGGGAACCACAGTAATATTAACAGCTGGGTTCTCATCCAAAACAATGCAGGCTAGAAGGTAGTGGAGTCGGATATTAAAGTGCAGGGGGTAAAAACAGTAAGGCAGGAATTCTTTATCCTTTAAAACTAACCCTCAAAAATAAAGGTGAAATAGGGACATTCACAGATGGATAATGTGTTGCTAGCAGAAATTTCTTATGAGAAACACTAAAGGAAGTTCTTTAGACTGAAAGGAAGTGACATTAGATGAAACTTAAATGCACATGAATAAATAAAAAAGTACCAGTAAAAGCAATTATGTAGATGGTTATGAAAATCAGTGTAAATACGTCTTTTGTGTTTTCTTTACTGATTTAAAAGACAGTTGCATTAATTGCACTGGGCTCACCCAAGTTATCCAAGATGATCACCTTAATTTAAGGTCGTGTTATTAGTAACATTAATCCATCTATCACAACTACTCAGCTCCACCTTTTAGCTTGAAAGTATTCATAGACAATACATAAATGAATGGATATGGCTTGTTCCCGCAAAACTTTATTTAGAAAATAGGCAGTGGGCTAGATTTTGTCCATGTATCATACTAACCCTTCTTCAATACACAGCTTCTCCTTTTTTCTTTTAAATTTTAACAGATAAGATTATAAAAGCAATAATTATAACACCACGTTAGTAGTTATATGATATGTATAGATAGAATATATGACAATAATAGCACAAAGAAAAGGAAAGAGAATTTGTTATATGGGAATAAAGTTGCTGTATTTTATTGGAATTGAATCAGCATTCATTTGAAGTAGATTGTGATAAATTAAGGTGCTTATTTAGTGATTAAGAAAGCTAAAAAATATTATACCTTAAAAATCGACAAGGGAGTTAACATAAATACAGTATATTTAATTTAAAAGAAAAAGAAAGAACACAAAGGCAGTCTTGGTGGCTAACACCAGTATTCCCAGCATTTTGGGAGGCCACGTCAGGAGGACCATTTGAGCCCAGGAATTCAAGACCAGCCTGGGCAACATGATGAGACTTTGTCTCTACAAAAAAAATAAAAATAAAAACATTAGCCAGGCATAGTGGCACATGCCTGTGATCCCAGCTACTTGGGAGGCTGAGGCGGGAGAAGAACCCAGGAGGTCAAGGCTGCAATAAAAGCCATGTTCATGCCACTGCACCCCAGCCTAGGTGACAGAGCAAAACCCAATCAAAAAAAAGAAAGAAGAAAGAAAGACAAAGAAAAGAAAAGGAAAATAAAACACATGAGACCTGTATAAAACAAATAACAAAATGTCAGACATAAATCTATTCCTTGTAATAATAACATTAAAATAAATTAAAATGACAATGAGATATTTTAAAGTAGCTACTAGGATGACTGAATTTCAAAATATTGATAATGCCAACTAATACCAAAGATTATGGATAAAATAAATATCTCTCATACTCCTAGTTGAAATATAAGTTACTGCAACAACTTTTAAAACCTTTTGGGCATTACCTACTAAATATTAAGATGTGTATACCCTATGATCAGTAATTTAAGTCCTTGGTATATAACCTACAGAAATGTTTGAGCATATGCATTAAGATAAACTTAAGTTGAGGTGTACTACTCTAGCTAAATTTGACATGGTAATTAGAAGGAACTATACTTGCACTTAACAACACAGATGGATCTTATGAATAAAATGTAGAGTATAAAAACTCAAAAGAATTCACACTTTTAAAAATTCCATTCATATGCAGTTTGAAACCAGGCAAAACTAAAGCTAAACTATAGTGTTTGGGGATGCAAGCTTAGTTGATGAAACTAGGGAAAAAAATGACAGGATTGATGACCTTATCTAAAAGTCAAAATGACCATTACCTTGAAGGGAAGGAATAGGTAGTAGTTGAGAAATGCCATGAGAGGATAGGGTGCAGGCATCTATTAAGATTTATGCTCAAGAAGACTGTGGATATTTTTATTATAAAACTCTGGAGTTATACAAAAAGTTACAAGTAGGTTGAAGGCTGGGCATGGTGGCTCACATCCGTAATCCCAACACTTTGGGGATCACTTGAGGCCAGGAGTTCAAGACCAGGTTGGCCAACACGGTGAAACTCCATCTCCACTAAAAATACAAAAAAATTATCAAGGCATGGTAGCACAGGCCTGTAATCCCAACTACTCGGGTGGCTGAGGCATGAGAATTGCTTGAGCCTGAACCTGAGTCTGAGAGGCAGTTGCAGTGAGCTGAGATCATGCCACTGTACTCCAGTGTCTTGGAAAAAAGGAAAGGAAAGGAAAGGGAAAGGGAAAGGAGGGAGAGGGAAAGGGGAAGGGAGGAAAGGAAAGGGGAAAGGAAAGGAAAGAAAAGGAAAGGAAAGGAAAGGAAAGAGGGAGGGAGGGAGGGAGGGGAGGGGAGGGAGGGGAGGAGAAAGGAAAGGAAAGGAAAAAGGGGAGGAAAGAATAAAGGTATAGGACGGAAATTGGATACTTTAAGATTTTACTCTATAAATATCAATATTGCCTGTATTTTTTAAGAAAAATATCTGTTACTTGTATAAAATTAAGAAACATCATATGATTTGTAAGAGGTTAATTTTTTTCCAGTTTCAAAGACATGAAGATGATGCTACATCTCTTCCTCAGGAAGCTGAGAGCACTTTTTGAAAAATCTAGAAATGTAAGAATTTTGCTGTTGCTGATGCCTGATGTGGGTCCTAATGATATCTCTGTATACCAAAGCAGTTATGAAGCCTATAGACTTTGTGCAAAATAAAATACAAATAAGGTGAATTTTTCTCCTCAGTATTCAAGAAATTTCTCTGCTCATGTTTTTCTAGGCTGCAAGGGGAAAGCTTTTCCCTATTTAAATATGAGATTATTATAGGATGAATTTGTTATCTAGGTATTCTGAATAGCTGTCAGCTCCCCATAATAGAGCTTTTGTAAGAGACTGTAAAAAAGATTCATTATTATCTCTAGAGTGCAGGCTATAAAGACTTGGGCCATGATGCTATATAATTTACCGGAAAACTTCAAATACTTGATGTCCATACAAGTAAAAAGCACATTTTACAATCCGGTTCTTCTACATTAACTAGCTTCTACTTTAACAAAGTATGAATCAAAACGCCTCTAATTCATATTTTCTTCATTGTGCTTTGACTTCTTTTCTCCTTAAAGTTACTTTCTGCCCTGAACTTATTTGCTGTCTTTCCTATCTTTCTTTCCCCTGGCTTCTTTCTTATCATTGTTTGGATCATCTGTTCAACTGCTTCTCAAAGCAAACAGACTGCCTTTCCAAATCAGGAGAATTTTCTAGAAATCTGTTCTGAATTCAATTCACTCTCTCTTCTAATATAGAACACTACCTCAGAAAGATGTTGCACTGTTTGTTACCTAACAGTGTAAAGTAAAGTTACTTGAGTCTAAGAATATCAGTGCTTAGCTCATTTTTTTCAGAGTTTCTACTGTATACCAATGAATAGTATATTAAACTCTGGAGTATCAACAATTAATAAGGTACCTGATGGCTAGGAGACTTTATTTTAAGGGAGGAAACAAACAGCTAGCAAGTTAAGACTCTGTATGACACATAAATTAACAGAGTATAAAAAACTAGAAATAAGCCGGGCGCAGTGGCTCATGCCTGTAATCTTGGTACTTTGGGAGGCAGAGGTAGGCAGATCACAAGGTCAGGAGTTTGAGACCAGCCTGAACAACATGGTGAAACCTCGGAAATTAGCTGGACATAGTGGCATCCACCTGTAATCCCAGCTACTCAGGAGGCTGAGGCAGGAAAATTGCTTGAACCTGGGAGTCAGAGGTTGCGGTGAGCCGAAATCATGCAATTGCACTCCAGCCTGAGCAACAGAGTGAGAGTCTGTCCTCAAAAAAAAAAAAAAAAAAAAAAGTAGAAATAAGACAGAAGAAATAATAATCCTTGAGATGTGAAATAAGAGGAATAAAGCTGTAGGAAAGACCCCTGAGCAGAGAATTAGTAGTTTACCAAGCAGAAAGTTAGGAAGACATTTTGAATAGAAGAGTTTAGCTTATTAGAAATGTGGGAGAGATCATAGCTAAAATAAATATATTAAAACATAATGACATGGTGAAACTCCATCTCTACTAAAAATACAAAAATACAGCTGGGCACGGTCCGGGTATGGTAGTGGATGCCTGTAATCTTGAGAGGCTGAGGTGGGAGAATCACTTGAATCCTAGCTTTGAGACAGAGGTTGCAGTGAGCCGAGATGGCACCATTGCACTCTAGCCTGGGCAACGAGAGTGAAACTCTGTCTCCAAAAAAAAAAAAGGGGGGGCAGAATTGAGTAAAATGATAAATTCTATTAGGATAAGTTGACTTTGAGATAACTATAGAACATCAAAGTAGAGATGTCAATTAAGCAGTTTGGAAATACATATATGGAGACAGAGGAAAGATCAGTTATAAATTGATTGATTTTGATGGTAATTAAAAACATTGAGAGATTATGTCACCACGATGGCAGGCTAGAAAAATCCTACTCATATCTCCCATAACAATGACAATTCTGCACCTATTCAAAGTCAAAAGTCTCTCTGCAGAAGCCTTGGGATTCAGGTAAGAGTTCGTCAAATCCCAATGGAGCCCAAGATCCAGGAGAGTCATTTTTAGAGTGCAGACCAACACCCAAGTGGCTGATTTGCCAAGATTGCTTGTAGATTCAAGCCCATTAATGTACTAGTCCTCAAAGGGGCTTGTTTACAGCCTCACATGACTTTGAACCTACAACCAAAACCATCTATCAAGGGTTCCAGAAGGAATCATGCACGCCAGTGCCTTGGTGGAAAGACTTGTCTGCCTGCTGACATTGATCTTGGCAGTGAACCTGAAAAGTACACTGTGGCTCTGCTTTAGCCTTCCTTAGCTGAGGTCCCAGCTCAGAGCTACTCGCACAAGGACCCCAGAGGGAGATTCACTCATCTATTGTAGCCTGGAAGTCCTCTATGATGGGCTTGCCAACCTCCATCCCATAGCAGATCCCAAGGGGATCCACTCTCAGCTCCAGTGCCTCTCACTGCAGTTGAGAAACTATCCCATCTGTGCTGAGATCTGCTGGGAAATGACTTCCTGTCTGGGCCAATAAGAGGGGCTCTCCAGCCTCCATCCTACAGGAGATTTCAAGGAAGCCCAGTCTCAGCTCCATTCCCTCCTTCTGCAGTCAAGGAAGTATCCCATTTTTACAGGGTCCTCCTGGGAGACATGTGCCCTCTGAGCCAACAAGACTGGGCTTTATAACCTTTATCCCACAGTAGATCATGAGGGGGTCCCAATCTCAGCTCTGGCCCCTCTCATGGCAGTTGAGGAACTATCCTATCTGTACAGGAACCTGCTGGCTGGCATGCACCCCTCTATGCTGAGAATGGGCTCCTCATACTGTATCTCACTAAAAATCCTAAGTGGGGGGCCTGATTTTAGCTCAAAACCCTCCTGTTATAGTCAGACAGCTATACCAACATGCCAGCCTCTGTTTCACGGCAGGTATTGAGGGGGGCCAATTTTAGCTCTGGCCCTTCCTGCTGCCGTCAAGAAACTAGCCCACTTGTGGAGGAATCTGCTGGATGATACATGTTTATCCGAACTTACATGGGCCCACTAGCCTAATTCTCACAGAAGGTCCCAAAAGGGTCCAGTCTCAACTCTAGCTACTCTTGCTGCACTTGGGGACACAGCCTACCTATACAGAGACCTGCTAGGAGATGTGCCTATTTGGGCCACTGGGACAGTCATTCAGCATTTTCATACAACCACAGTACCCTTCCTGAGTCTTCCCCAAGTCCATCTGGGCCAGAAAGCTGTGTCAACCTTGGAAGTCTTCATGAGGTTCACAACAAGCCTGGGTTTAGGGTGTCTTATAATGCTGAAATAGCTGCAGTGGTCACAGGCTCTAGGAAAACAACAGTAAGTCAGCTTAGAGTCCCTGGAAATCCCTCTAAAGGACAGGGACAAACTAATCCAGTCAAACATTCAAAGGTAAAAGACAAAGAGAGGATTTGAAAAGCAGCAAAAGAAACAAAAACAAAATGTAAGAGAGATCCAATACACGTGGCAGCAGCAGACTTCTCACCAGAAATTTTACAGGCCAGGAGGGAGTAGAACAATACAGCCAGAGTACTAAAGAAAATGCCAAGCAAGAACATTGTACCCAACAAAACTATCCTTCAGAAATAAAGGAGAAAGAAAAAGCTTTAACAGAGAAACAAAAGCTGAGGAAATATATTGTTACTAGACCTGTCCAACAAGAAGTGATAATGGAAGTTCTTCAAACCCAAAGAATAACATGCTAAGGTGATTGTAAAACCAATATTGTGATTGTAGTGTTTAAACCATTTATATCTTTAGTAAGAAGACTAAAAGGCAAAACTATTAAAAATAAGAATATTTTAAACTATTAAAAATATTTTTGAATTAAACATTATTAAAAATATTATTATAAAGAAAAATGTGACTTCAAAAATTCGAAATGTGGGAGGAGAAGGGAGTTAATGTGTACCGGGTTTATCTTTTCTTTGCGTGCAATCAGTTCAATTGATTCAGTTTTAAACAACTTGCTATAGCTATAAGATGTCTCACATAAGCATCCCGTGAACCACAGAGTAAAAACCTATAATTGACGTGCTAAAAATAAAAAGCAATCAGTTAAAACATACTACCAGATAAAACCACTTACACACTAAGAAAAGCAGTAAGAAAGGAAGAGAAAAGCTACACAACTATAAAACAAGTAACAAAATGACAGTAGTAAGGCCTTATTTATCAATAATAACACTGTTATTGAGTAAATCAAATTCTCCAATTAATAAACATAGAAGGGCTGAATGAATTAAAAACAGAACCCAACTATATGCTGCATACAAGAAATTCACTTCACTTATAAAGACACATACAGATTGAAAATGAAGGGATGGAAAAAGATATCCCATGGAAATGGAAACCAAACATGAACAGGAGTAGCTATGCTTAGATCATATAAAATAGACTTTAAGTCAAAAATTATGCAAAAAGGCAAAAAGGCCGTTGTGTAAGGATAAAGGGGTCACTTCAACAAAAGGAGATGACAATAGTAAATATGTATGCACCCAACACCAGAGCACCCAAATATATCAACAAATATTAATAGTTTTGAAGTGAGAGATATACTACAATGTAATAATAGTAAGGGACTTCAACAACACACTTTTGGAAGTGGACAGATTATCCAGGCAGAAAATCAACAAAGAAATATTGTAGTTAAACTATACATGAATTGGATCTAACAGACATTTACAGAACAATTCCTTGAACTGCTTCAGAATACACATTCTTCTCATTAGCAAATGGAATAATCTCTGGGATAGACCATATGTTAGCCACAAAATAAATCTCAACAAATTTAAAAAAGTAAAAATTGTATCAGGTATCTTTTCTGACCACAATGGAGTAAAACTAGAAATCAAAAACAAGAGGAACCTGGGAAACTGTACAAATATATGAAAATTGAAAAATATACCCTCAAACAACCAATGGGCCAAGGAAGAAATTAAGAAGGAATTTTAAATTTTTTTTGAAACAAACGAAAATGGAAAAAACACACCAAAATCTATGGAATACAGAAAAAGTGTACTAAGAAGTTTATACTAATAAATAGCTATATTAAACAAACTTCAAATAAGCAACCTAACAGTGCACCTCAAGGAACTATGAAAGCAAGAGTATATCACCCTGAAATGAGTAGAAGGAAAGACATTTTTAAGAGATCAGAGCAGAAATAAGTG